TTTTTTTCCATCCCATTCCTCGCGACGATGCGATGCTCTCCCGCCTGCGTTCGATTTCACCGCGCGAGAAGAAAAAAATTTCATTCGTTTGTGTTCCCAATCGCCTCGAAGAAGAAGCGCGCCGTTTCGCTAGGCGATCATGCGATGACATCTCCGGGGCTTGAAGAATCACCGCCAGCGATTAGTTATAGATATTTATAAAGCGACATTATATAATGAGGAAATCGAGTCGTTTTGCAATTTTTTAGAATCAGTCTTGGCAATTTTTCTCTCTTGTTCGCAACGAATGCTCGTGTTGTAACATTTATCGGCCTTGAAACACATTTGCATTTCACATTTGTTGCTAACATTTATTTGTTTGTAAGTTCATTTTATTTGATCTTTTTAACTGCATATCTTTCGTAGGATTTTCAAGCGTTTTTCTTCCTTATTAGATTTTTGAAAATATAAAACCTTTCCCTTTTTAATATTATTAAGTGCTAGGGCTTAAACAATTAGATTAAACGTAAGACGACTTATCGTGTCTTATTTTATATCTTACGAGAGCTTTAGGATTTTTTACGGACGGTTGTCTTTATTCATTTTAATATTCGAGGTAAGAAGTGATGATCGAAGACGATATTACCTGTCCTTGCGGCGAATATTTAAAAGTTTACTTGTACATGCGTGCGTTCTCGACCATTATGCGCTCGCACAATACCGCGACTATTGTCGGAGATATCCTGCTAGGTAATTACGGTAAATCTTGATCCGCCAACGATACGCTTAATGACAAGGTAAGAATAATTAAAAAACCATCTTACTGGAACTCGAATAAAACGATCGCTCTTTTATCACCCAGGCGTTGTGCCTTTTTCAATTTGAGTCGAGATATTTTTACGGGCGACGATCATATATGTATAATTGAGAAAAGTTTTCGAAGAGACCAGTGAGAGTATCGAGCTAGCAACTTACCGGTGTTTTATGGATGATGTAAATTCAGCAAAAATGACGGAAGACGTACGTCGGAGAAAACGGGACAAACGCAAACGGGCCCGGCTCGGTTACTAAATGTCTTGTCTCATGAACTCGCGTCTGTGGCAATCACAGTTTTCGTCATTGACGGATAGTAACTGCATAGAGTATCGCGCTGTGCACGCGGAAAAAAATCCTAAACACCGTCCGTATCTTCTGTTTTTTTTTTTACGGGGAAACATGTCAAGGTAATTAGACGTTTCATCACATTACCGTCCTACGAGCGCGCGACATCGTCTTGAAATTGAATAATCGCCGCGGTCGCCCATCTCATACTGCGAGATACGCATCTTTCTCCAGCTGAACCGAGGAGGGACTTGTAAGGCCTATAGAATAGGTTTTATTGCGTTGTTGTAACATGTATGCGCTTCTTGTAGGAAATAGATAGGTTACATCTGCGATATTTATTCGTCGTCTCTCAAATTCGCAGGAGCTCCCGCATATATTAGCGCTTTTTTCTAACATCGCGGAGCCTCACGACGGTCCACTTGTTCGGCGTGATTTATGCGATTATACCAATTTATAAGCCTTCGGGCGAAATGCCTCCAGTCGTCGACACTAAATGTATATTACGGATCTAACCGATCCAAACCGGCTTTTACCGGCGAATACCTTAATTCCACCGGTTTCTGGTGCTGGGTCAGCCAATCCATTTTCACGATCGGGATTTGTTGAGGGGATTTAACGTGTCGTAAGATAAATCGTCGACTTGATCTCTCTTTACATTTTCTAATCGTATATTCACAGCGGGGGCCGAAATTTTGCGCTTCTGAAAAATGTTGCGAAGAAAAGAGAGACAAGACACGCGGCGATACGTGATTATGGTCTTAGGCGAAAAGGATCTCTTTCAGTGAATTTCTGTGATTCGCGTAGAATTATGATGACAGTCAAAGCTGATTCATACATTTATAAGAGAAATCGGATAACGCGTAGAGAAATATTTTTTAACCCATATATTTCATAACGTAAGGCTAATTTATGATTTCATATTTTAAAATATTAATATTTTTTATATTTATAGATTTTTATATTTAATATAATATAAATATATATATATATAATATGAAAATTAAATATTATAAATATATTAAATATATTGTTATTAAATATATATATCTTTTTCACTTTTTTAATAAAAACATTTTATTTCAATTCTCTATTTGTAAAATAGCAGTTTTTCAAAACTACATTAAATAATATTTCTCGGAAAAGATGTCACGCGAGAAGAACATTGTTTTTTATCTAGTCAATTTTGCCACTTACCTTGACAATTATTTTATCTTCCGTAATAATCTCTACTTTGTGTTTGTCGCCGTATAAAATACCCACGCGTGCAGCGACCGACTGATGCCTTGCAACAAGAGTGTAGAAAACCGTCACGTTGATTATTTTGACGTTGTAACGAAGCGTGTCTATCTCTGCGCCGCATAATTTTCACTGCTATAGTGATGCAACAGAATAGAGGCACGATTCGCCACGTTTGCGGTTTAAATAAATCCACTCGCGTGTATAACGGCGCAATTTTAATAAAACTATCTGGCACACGATCGTGTGCCGAATAAGTTATGATCGTTTTGCAAAAACGCTACCTTCAAAGAAATATAACAGCGATAATTGCGGAATATCTGTTTTCTTTACACAATTGTAATAATCGTATGGACAATTATTTGCATAACGCACGCAATTTTTTCTTCCGAGTAAATTGATTAGCATTGGCGCGGCCTTAGACAGGCCCGACATGCTTTTTACTCGTGAAAAAGTCGGTGGTAAAATTATCACGGGCGCGAGTAGCAATCGCTTTTTATCGCGCGGGAGATATGGCGATTGTTCAGAGAATCACACTCAATAAAGATCACGTCGAGCACGTACAAGTCAAGTAAAATCGACTGCGTTCTACATTCGCCTTGATATACATTTCTTCCGACATAGAGGTGCATAATATTTTTTATTTCATCATAATATTCATTATTTGATCTCCAAATTTCAACATATTAGGAGCTGTATCCGTAAATCAAATAAAAATATATTATACAAATTGTAAAATTGGAATATTGGTTATATCACTTTGTAAAATTAATTATTTCTTGTGTTAATATCAATTTGAATATTATAAATAATTATAATCATAATAATTTAATTATACATAATTTAATATATTCAATTATAAAATTTATATAAGCATTAATCGCAAAAGCACGCATGTTTGCATATATTCGCTGTGTTCATCTTTCGTTTTATTTGATATATTATATCAAGTTTACAAGATTTTGCTTGCTTCAGTGAGAATGCTAATTTATCTCGCTGATCGCGTGCATCACAAAAATACATATGTATGCGTGTCTGTTCGTTGCATTCTCACTAAACGTATATGCAAAATCAATCTTGTCATAGTGATTTAATATTATTGCTTCCGTTTGCAGTCTATTATTTTAGGCTGATTTATCTTCTGAAAGGATGATAATTGATATAGAGTTTGTATTTAAAAAATTGCAATATAGGAGATGCAAGTACAACAAAGAAAATTATAACAGTTTATTCTGATCTTTCCCTCTCAAGAACAACGCAACGCGTGCATAATTACAAGCTCTTTCTCGATCATAGCGAAAGATCGTCCGTCACTCGCGACAGTCACTCATAATTAGCATACACACCTGGCGACTGATTAATATTTTCGTACTCACTCACGCGGATATTACACATAACGAGGCGCCCGCGCCGTAGCCGTAGACCTGCTTTAAAGATTACGCAGCCTTGCCGTTCTCTCTCTCGAAAGGTTGCAGTTTGTCACGCCGTGTTCACCGCGCGATCGCGGATTCTTGTTTACGATAGCAGTAGCTGCGAGAAAGTCATAAATATGCAAGAATTGGTTCTAATAGCGTATTACAATATTGTACTTAATACTAAGTTACGTATTCTATGCGTGCTACATTGCGCTAAAAGCATTCATTAAATTAATGGGAAAACCGTGAGACAGGTAATAGCCAAGTAACCGGATTAATGGTTTGATAAGCAAATTTTTCCATCTTAGTTTTTCTCTATATTACATTTGTTTATCACTTGAGAATTCTAATGCAATAAAAGTGATAAAACGCGATTTGGATTGAGAAATTGTACGGGTCTTTAATCTTGTTGTTGTTGTTGTTGTTTTTTTTCCAAAAAAAAACATTGTCTTCTTTTATAAATTTATGCTACTAATTTTATTTGGTTATTTTTAATCATAATGAAATTTCGTAAAAACTAAGATGATATATTATAATATATTGGTGTAGATAAATAAAATACTATAATCAGAAATTAGTATTTAAAAATAGGTTGCAACTGCATAAATCATAAATTGACGCACGCGAGGCGCAGAACCGAGGCGGCAATCTGATAAAGAAGCGGCACAGGAAGCAATATACGCGATCATATTATCATTGTGTAGTGCATAAAGGCATATTGATGTACGTGCATTTCTGTATACATGAATAATCTCGTATAATTGTGTGCGTCTTATACGCATCAAGAACGGTGACGAAACTCTCATTTAATGTGGACGCGCGTAAATCACAGGTACTCACCCAAGAACGTTTTTATTGAGTATCTTCAACCTCGGCTGCAACGGTATTGAGAATTTATAGACTTAGGGACATTTTTAAATGTTTTTACAATCTACACACACACACACACACCCAACATATAAAGAACAGTTGTTTATTTTATGAAAAGCGATAGACACGTATTTTTAACGTACATACATTAGTAATATTCCGCGTCGTCAATTATTATGCCAATATCACAGATCTATCATCAATCTTTGCCAACAAAAGATTACAACTTGTCCTTTAACCAGTTGCACTTTCCATCGAAATGTCATCTATGTACAGAATGCTTTATTCATATTGACCATCAACGTGTTTTACAGCGAATGCTGCGTAGCTTTTGAAGAAATAAAATGATTAGAGCTGCTTTCAACATCTGAAACGTAATTGTATTTCTAGGTAGCCGACACGTAAAATGGTGGCGTCGCAAAACGACGGTGGCAGAAGTATGGGCGGCGGCGGTGGTGACGGCGGCGGCGGTGGCGGCGGCGGTGATGACACGGTTTACACGGTGACCGTGAGCGGGGTCGGTTACAGGAACGAGGGTTACAAGGACGACGGCACCGACGGCATACCGCCGGAGCCGCAGAAGCCGCAGTTCCCGGCGGCGGACGACGACACGCAATCGCGGAAATTCAAGCTGTCGCGCGGCGAAAAGTGGCGTATCCTGAAGAACATCGGCACCGTCTCGATCGCCTTCATGGTGCAGTTCACCGCGTTCCAGGGCACGGCGAATCTACAGTCGTCGATCAACGCCAGCGACGGCCTGGGTACTGTCTCGCTTTCAGCCATTTATGCCGCTCTGGTGCTCTCGTGCATCTTCGTGCCCACTTTCCTTATCAAGAGGCTCACCGTCAAGTGGACCCTCTGTCTATCCATGCTGTGCTACGCGCCGTACATCGGCTCGCAGTTCTATCCGAAATTCTACACCCTGGTACCCGCTGGCGTGCTCCTGGGTCTCGGCGCCGCGCCCATGTGGGCCGCTAAGGCCACGTATCTGACGCAGGTTGGCGGGGTCTATGCTAAGATCACCGACCAGCCAGTCGACGCCATCGTCGTACGGTTCTTCGGCTTCTTCTTCCTGGCGTGGCAGACGGCCGAGCTCTGGGGCAATCTTATCTCTTCGCTCGGTAAGTCGACAATTTCAAGTTTTTTATTATTAGAATTACTATTTTAACACTGAAAATATTCTCTGTGTGTTGAATTTATAAAACTCCGTTGATATTCCCGAAATGTTATAATTCGTGTATGAAATCAGAAAACTTGATTAAGGTAGTTGTATCGCGACAGTATTAGTCAAAAATAATGGTCACACTGCAATACGATAATGTATGAAAACTCTACTTATCTGTGTAAAACTTTTGACTGAGCTTGTACTGTTTTTACTGTTTTCACTCGCGTCAGTAATGTCAGTATACCAGTATGCTATCGAGGTTATTTTGAATAAATAAAAGAAATAGAAGCGAAAATGTCTGTTGAACGTTACAAAGGAAGATTAATTTAAAAAAAGTATTAAAGAAAAGACTTAAAGCCTTAGCGGCAATGTCTGAACTACATATATATCTAATCTTCATATGCGCAGTGTTGCAAGATCTTTACAGGTTAGCTGTCGTATGCGTCCATCGCTATGAGAAATTGTGTACTTTGTGTAACAATAGCTTCAAAACTAAATAGATAAGGGTCTTGTACTTTTGTAAGAATATTTTTACAAGTCTCTTTTGTCATCTCTTTGTTTTTCATTAAAATCCTATGAGTAGTTTGATCGCTACAATTACAAACGTGATATAGGAAGCCGTTTTCGTCCTACGATACATGTAAAAAATGCTAAGTTTGATTTCCATTATTTCAACTTTGGTATAGTCAAGCTTTTTCTACTTGCACGTGTGTGTAGAGCGTGTTTGCATTAATATGCTGTTCAAATTTTAAAAGATTCCTATGAAAATGGGTTTTGTGATACAACTACCTTAAAGAGCGATAATAAGAAAAGCTTCTGGCTATGAAGACACGCTGATAAAATCAATGCAAATGACATTGGTTTTATAATCGACTTATAAAGCCTTTTTTAGAGTTTACATCATGTATGCATAATTAATAGTTATTATCAGGGCCAATTACACTGATGCTCCGCGAAGTGTTGATTTCTGAGAATAAAAGTCTCTAATCCTCACTGTCGAAGTTAGACGTGATTAAGCGAGCATTTTTATGTGGTTATGCTATAGCATTATGCGTACTTTCGTAAAAGCAATTCTTTCTGTCATTCATAAGCGCGTAATAAAGACATTCTTCACATCTCAATAATACAATAACACTATCTCCGTCTGTTTTTCATGCTCAATTGCCAGCGGCTCACAATATATCCGTTAATGCCGCGCAAATATTCCAGTAGACTGTGTGCACAATTGTGTGTCAGCTTATCAGCTTAGACTATGTTGTTCGTTAATTACATTTCTCTCTATACTAACATTACTAACAGATCTTAAATTAATAGTCCAAACCATTTTTCCCCAAATTATTCTATCTAACTATATAATAAACAACCTTATACAAAACTTTTCAAATCTGATTTTCAATTGAATTAAATAATTTTGAAAGAAGATATTAATGCAGAATATTTGTGTTTACAATTTTTTAATCTCTCTAAATCATGCCAAATTTCGCAATACATATAGCGGTGCGCGCAGCACGCGGGCAGTGGAGACAGCCGTTGTAGTCAGACAAACGTTACAGTCAGACAGTCCGACTAAACGTTCGGCGCTTCCCCTGACACGCGCGTACCTATATCCTCGTGTCTTTATACGTCTTTATACCGCTTCCTCCGCAAGTGTGCGTGAGGGACAACGTGGTCAGTGAGGGACTTGTCGAACGAGAGAAGCCGTGAGAGCGACGGAGAGAGAATTGCACGCTCGCTGGGAAGAAACAAGTTTTATCCGGTATAAACTCGCGGCAGTCGGTTTCCGTACTACCTCGTACGCATTCCCCGATACCGCGTGTGTTTACACACACACACACACACACACACATACACGCGTAAAGAATCATTGATGTTAGTCTTACGTGTGAAGAAACGTTTCTTCGATTTCTTCGCTCGTTGAATGCCTCTCCTACGATTGAATTTGATCTGACGCCATTTCGTATAAGATCCGGTAATGCTGCGCGACGTTCTAATTATCAAAATGATGCGTAGAAAGAGCAACGAAATAGAATATATGTTAAAATTGAACAATAATAAAAAAATTAGGATTTGAGTAGCATAATTAACTGATGTTAGATTGTACAAAAAAGAAATGAGAACTAATGAATGCAAATTTAGTTGGACGAACTTTCTGTTAGACGAACTTGGTGACTTTATATAAAATCTGCAATTATATTATAATATGAATAGCTGTATCATCTAATAGTTAATAATTATTCTAAATAAATAATAAATCAAAGAGATGAAATAATATGTAAAAACAAATAGTATCGATAATAATAATAAATAATTTTGATATTAAATTTTATTAAATATATTGATACATTTTAATAATAATGGAGTATCAGATGAGACAGTATTCCACTTCATAAAAATATTACTTCTGATAAGTGTAGATGGCTACATAGACAAATTCGTATTAAATCATTATCAATCATTTGATGGACAGAGAAAAGTCAATGCTATTGGCGCCAGGTAACATTTGCAAATAAACAACAACGGTCAAGATCATTTTGAGTCCTTGTCGAGGTCGACATGTATACGCAATATTATAACGATGAATGGTCCGTAGTGGCATGAAGGTTGCAGATTGCATGGGCAGGTATTACTGAATAATTCCTCGAAATCGACGAGATCTTTGTGGAATGATTCGATAATACCTGTAGATAACGAATTTCTTGTGCATTATGACATCGATTATGGAAGAAGTCGATTAAATATACCATGCACCGCATTTATGTAACGTGATCAATACTAAAGAGTCCAGTTTATTTTTGCCGAACTAATTAAAGACTTAATAATTTTAATTAGTAAATTATTTTAATTAAATGTATGTCCCTGCACTTTCAATCTTAATATCAGTGACGCATTTTTCGCTGTGTTTGAAATTTAAATCGATTTTTTTATCACGGAGAATTTTGAGGAAGGCCATTATTTGCAATCCATTGCAATCTTTTAAGATTAAATATCTGAATAATCGGATTATAATATTCAAAATGCAAAAAAAATAAAATTTATCTGAATTTAAATGGACAATAATTATTTTGTTTTACTTTATTTTTTGACCTTACCTTAAAAGTTTAATCCTTCGTTTAATATAAATTGATTAAAATTACAGAACTATTAATTAGCTTCGTTGAAAAAAAATCAAAATGTGAAATCGATTAAAAATATACCTGCGTTTGTAAATTTTGGCATGCTTATACACGTTTCGAGTCTTCGACCTTTCAAAACGTGGTTAAATTATATATATGGGCATTTTCTACTGCACAGTTATTTCTAATGTAACGAAAATAAGAAATACTTTTTATCGTTTGCATAAAATGTGACGGATATTGGAACAGAAACTGTTTATGATATTTTTAAGAGACTTGTCATTGATTTATTCATTTATTGCATAAAGTATAATACGTATCTTTGCAGTTTGCAATTTGCATGATTGGACTGAACGATTTCCGCACGTATATTCGTGCGTGTTCGCTCGACAACAGCATTAAAAAGTGGACATTTCCGACAATTGGTGACGATAGTGAAGAGAATCACGACGTAAAACACGACGTAATATTATTAGCTCCGGTGAAAGTTCCTCTGGTCGGCCGCGCACGTATTAGTCGAATGTAGATTTCAGAATGTCGATAGGTCTTACTTAGAGCCATCGATTAATTCCTATCCCGGAAAGAGTGCTGGAACATCCGTGTGAAATTATACGAATAACAAAATTCCCGGCACGCCGCGGCGATAGAAGATGAAAGTCGTGCGCGTCAGTAGTTCCGGTCGATGATTTAACCGGCGAGAAGCGCACGGCCGTTAATTTTTCGCGGCAGCGTAACGCTCGCAATTTGCGCCGGGCGATTTCTCGACACACTCGGAAAGGCTTTATCGTCACGTAAACGCGCATACTTTGTTACACATTATATCACACGCGCGAATAATGGGCATATGTAGTACGAGCGACCGCACGTTGGCGCTTTCGAGCAAATTGTTGCACCTCGGGGCGCGTAGCGCGACTCCTAGTCGACTCGACTCGACACGTCGAATACCAACGAGATCTTTCGAGAAGGTTCTGCGCAAACGAGCGCATTCGAACGCATATCGTGCGCTTCCTCATTGACGACATGTGTGCGTGGGCCGCGTTTGTACAGCTCTCTGCATGGGAATTTCTTTCTCCGGTTATTCGCGAGCATTTCTCCGAGCTGCGTTTCGCCGATCGGTTCGGTAATCCCGCTTGTTAGCGAAGCATTAAATTTTCAACAGGACCCACTGTCGGGATCAAAATAACTTTTATGACAACATAAAATGCACACGTGAACACGGTAAGAACAGTACGTTAATGGCATGCTTTATCCGTTTATCGCGGGATTTCTTCGCGTTTGCGTGAAGCGCGTGCACGAATCTTCGGGCAGAATCGTAAGGACGACTTCGCAATCTCGGCTGTCTTTTAACGGCGATAATAAAGCAATCAGAACACGCTAGGTTGCGATGTCTATTGCATCCCTGTCAGAGGTAACCAGGTGTGATTTACATTCGGCAAAGGTCTCCTCCGGCTTCACGCGCCGTGAATAAAGGTACAGAATTACGCGAATGGATTCCACTATACACGGGTGCAACCGTGACCTCGATGTTACCTCCATCGGGACGAGCCGACGCGCATAATCGATTTTTCGATCGTGGAAAGGCAAGGCGTAGCGTGCATAATGCGCAAAACTCGCGAGTCCGCAAAATCGATTAGGAAAGAGTCTCGGTCAACGGTGAAATTCGCCCATGAAGTATTGATTTACGAAGTGTCCAGCTCCACACACGTCGCGTCTCATTCTCCTCGGTGTTCCGGCTCTCTCACGAGACGGTTTCCGGTACGGCGTAACAGATCGACCTCTCGACCTACCGCTCTCCGCACACACACACACACGTTCGTCGCGCGAGTCTTCGAGCACCCGCTTCGAACTGGCATAATCGACTTGGTAATAAATTGTTACGCGTTCCCTGCTTATCCGAGTACACGCATTGCAGTTGCCAGGCAGATCCCTCGCGTCGATATCTTCCTACCGATTTTATTTCTCGACCGTGACGTATATGACGGTGATAAAACAGTCTCCGTACTTTACGTTGCGAGGACAAATTCAGATTTTGAACTTGTAGAATGGTAAAAAAAAACTATAATTATATGCTGAACTTGCAATTAATTCATTAACTAATCGCTAATTAAGATCACTCAAAAATTCCGTGTTATTCTTTCTTAGTCCTTTCATTAACAATCGTGTATTCAGTAAAAAAGAGTCACTGTTGTTAAATCATTTACGTGCATACTTTTAAGTTTGAAACATCACAATAATCTGCGATAATCGCTTTTTTCTTTCAGAAGCTTAACATATGAGAATAGCTTGACTTGTAAACTGCTGCGAAATGTAAAGAACAATCATTATTTTTGAGTCGTTTGCATAAGTTAAATTAACTCTTTTTTTTACATTAAAAAAAAAAAAACAGTTTTGAAAAAAAAACCATTTTCTTCAGTACAACGAGAGATGACAGTTCTTATATGTTGAATACTTTAAACTACATGTATTTACATACATGTATGAATTTTATATTATATATTTTATAGGTTTTTAGATTATTTAATGCCAAGTAGTAAAAATGAAACTATATAGCATAAAAAGTCGTAATTCTCTTTAATCTCCACCCACAAACTTGCACTAGAATAAATCTGATTTTTCGTTTGTAAATTACAAAAGACTTACTAGTAAGTATTAAAAAACATTTTATTTAAATCGAAATTAAGTTACTTGTTAGCAATAATAAATAAAATTTAATATACATTTTTATAAGTTAAAAAACAGATGCTCTCAAGTTTCCCCGATCGCTGTGGCGTTTTTCTTTTTTAATTAAATTCGAAGAAATTCAGAGAAAGCGCGAACGTTCGCGAACATCACTCACGATCAGAGATCACTTTCAAATTGCAGTATTAACCGATGGCGGTGCTGACGGCGGCGGCGGCAACAACACAACAAGTACAATCAACAGCTGGGACAAAGTCAAGCTATGCGGCGCGGATTTCTGCGTCATTGGCAACAAAGGTCACGAGAACCTGGACCGACCACCAGAGTCGGAAATCTACGAGATCTCCGCGATCTATCTCACGTGCGTTATCATCGCGGTGATTATCGTCGCTCTCTTCGTCGATCCTCTCTCTAGGTGAGTGCCGAATATACGGGAACGAAAGTCGCCGGTCGGGATGTTAATCGCTGGTTTTTATCGCTTACCAATATCAAGTCTCGTCATCGTAATACCTCGCAACGGAATAGCACATACAAGCAAGGACAGGCTAGTCGTTGAGAAACGTTAGAGAGTAGTCGGGCTTGATAAACCTGTGGTTCTCTACTCCTCCTACAAAGACTTTTATTTTATAATTAGAGATAACGCGCCGAATGTTAATTAGTTGATCGGATTTACATATTTATATGCACAGTGTAGCCGTATCAACTTGCGATCGTCAATAATGCTTCAATAAATTTTCAGTGAGTGCTGCTATTAAAGCACTAATGTTTAATGTATTACAAATTGCCATCAATATACTAATTAGTCATTTATTTCGCTCAAGAAGAGATAAAACTAGGTATATATAAAAAGATATTTTTCCTTTTAGATTAGTATAAATTAGTATAAATAAAAAATTATAAATATATATATATAGTACATCAAGAGACACGGTGGTCTCTCGTGCCAAGTACACGCGGAGCGAGACCGATTTGAAAAGACCTGAGAATATATTTTTTTTATTCTGAATCAATAACTCTTTGGTGAAAACTTAAAGAAAGTTTTAACTTGAATTATTCAACATTATAAGTGAAAATTTAATTTTGCTTATATAACAAAATTTTATTCTCCAATTAATATTAAGCGGGAATTTTAATGCATATATTTAATTCAAGGCTTAATTGTTAAGGTATCTGTCATTGAAAGTATATAAGTTACGAGAGAAATGATAATCTTTATTCAGATTTTTATTAAAACAAATTAGAAAGCAAAATAGAAAGATCCCAAATTAAATGTTGCATATTCTCCATTCACTTTTATTTCTTATATGTATATCTTTTATAATATGCATCGCTCGTCGCTCCTTTAAACATTTATTCTGCGACATATTAGTTAGATTAATCTACTAATAATACGATTGCAACACATCGGATTACTTCCAGTTTGCAAAGCAGTTAACGAATTAGCGAATGTTTCTCCGGTACTCCCAGATAGACGAAACAAATACCTTGCTCCGTATGTCTACTCCGATATCGATCTATGTGAGTAGGATGCGAAATCCGTTCGCCACAAAGAGGTTTATAATTGCACGTTGAGTCAACAATGAAGCTTACTTGCAGAGGTAGAGCATGCCGTAATTATGCGCCGCATGAAAGGTGACATGCACGAGATGTAACGGAGGAAGCTGCCTCTATCAATCGTACCAGTCTGTCTTATCGGTGCGCGCGATCACTGACAGTGATATATTTTATCCGCGATTTTACACTGAATTACGCGGCTCAAACTGTCATCGCCCGTATACGGATCGTTTTACGGATATATGGCGGTGTCACGCGATCGCGTTGTATTCTCGTCGCTCTGTTTTTAAGAATAAACGGCTGAACGGAGTGCCGTTGGGAAGAAAAATATTTTTATTCCCAATTTGATAAGAACGGGACGTTTGTTTTCGTGGCGATGTCATTGACCGTCCGATGCGGCCGAGAAAACGAAACGCGTAAAATCGCTTCGCCAGAAAATTAGCAAGGTAATTGAAATCGCGAGAAGCTCTTATTTAATAGACGCCGTTTCTCAGAAATTACTGCATAAAATGCAATTTGAATCTTTTCAATCTGCATCTTTTTAAATTTGCCATGTGATATATACCTACAGTTTCCCAGGAGAAGGAAATTTATTCATCAGATTCGCGTTAGTGAAGAAGTTGACTCACGTTCTCTCTCTCTTTCTACAACAACCAATTATAGTTACACTCATCGCGATTACCATGTTACCAACGTTACGCGGGTTAACAGATTATTCGAAAAATTTAAAAATTGTTTTAAGCAGCCGTCTCTTTTCCATCAATTTTTCAAAGACGGCGAGCAACCAAGTTATTGCTGTTTTCACGGCAGATTGTCAGCGATTACCGGTTTGCGGCTGTATCGTCGACGACTTATCAGTGGAGCGTACGCGAAAATTGAGAAGCAGAAGACATGTCGAGTTATTGCGGTATTACGAAACGCAGCTTGATAGACGTGATCCGCGAAACATCAGCCCGAATTTCCTCTCCCCTAGCCCCGCCGTTTCGGGATAGCTGTAACCATTGCTCTGCTTATGATTGCGAAATAGCGTACATCCGACAGGATGCGCCGGCGGTTGCATAACGCTACATGTAGCGTGAACCGTACTTATTAAAAGTCGGTAAGTTTCTGGAGGCTCGCGTTGCGTCAACGCTTATCCTTCAGCGTGCTGTAAAGCAACGCGACTAGTTTATACTAGGGGAAAAAAAAAGATCTTTGCATTTTTTTACATCGATTACCGAGAGATAATTAATTTGCAACTTACGATTCAACGCGGCTTCTCGCTTATCGGAAACCATGGTAAAAAAAAATGGGCGGTAACCATGGTCGGACGGCGTAAAAAGTTGATAAGGCAACTGTTACTGAGTGTACCAACCTTGATGCTAGAATTAACAATTCTAGAGATATATTTATTACGTACCGTAACAAAACAGAGATATTATAGTTAGCATTGAATAAAAGGTTCGCCTTATGGACGTGGAAAACATAATTCTCTTTTGGGCAACTGACGAAATAATTATTGTATTCGTAATTAATTACAGGAAATGTATAAATCTAAAATATATTGCGCAATGGCTAAATACTAATAACTTTAAAAAGGAAATAATTTTTGATAATGCAGCGGCAATGACGATGCGCCGATACGTCCAGTCGCGTTTACGGTCAATTTCCGCAAACACTTGCGCAAATACTTTTAGACCTTTTAGTTTAAATATATTGCACGATGGTGAATAATGCCGGATGTATCCCAATATTATTCACGCCGTTTCGTTTTCTGTCACCGATAAAATCACTCTCTCATATTCATCCTGTCGCGGGGTGATGCGCAAGGACACGTGTCCGTCCGGATGTAGGCAACTCTTAATGATACGTTGCCCGCCAAATTATTATCGGACCGAAGATTAGATTGCGACTCAATGTTACAAAGTCCTCGGAAAATACATGCCTCGGTCAGGTGCGCACGGCGCTCTGACGCATACTAACTACCCCGTTCGCAATTAACATGGTCGATCTTCCGACGCCGAGATACAAATCGATGGAAATATAGACGCTAAAGACCCCGCACAATGAAAAATATAAGGAACAAGGAACAGATATTATAGCAATTAGAAATAAAAAATTGGGAATAAAGCTGGGTGTAGCATTAATACACAGCTTCCGATAGGTTAAAAATCTATTGTCTGTTTTATTCCCTGTTTCCGTTGCCTGTATACTTTTCATCGTGCAACTTTATTCTTGATTCTTTAGTTCTAATCGCTAACATCTGTTCCTTGTTCCTTTATATTTTTCATTGTGCGGAGGCCTTAATGTAGACGTGATATTAACGACAATCTTATCAAAGACGGAGGAGAAGAAAAACGCGCCATCCTAAGGTCTTGTTTCCTGTCTGCACACTTGAACGATCCGTTTAATGAATTGTTTTTATGGACAGCTGTATTGAAATGTGCGTTTACGCTTTTCACGCGCGACATCAAGGCTTCGTTCAATGCAACTCTCTCATAAATCAGCCGGCTCGAACTTCTCGCGCAGAAGGAACAAACGTTGGAGCATCACACTCGTAATTACATTGAATTAATAGATGCTATCGTGTCGGATTTATTCGCAGTTGTAATTATGGTGTTACGTTTCCATGACTTCCGCGACGACAGATTCTCATTGTTTCTGTTCGCCGCTGTGTATAGGATTTTGCGGTCTTCTATGCTATTTAATTTAATTCTTCCGCGGTTTTGACTAACATAACTTCCTGTACGTAAACGACGAGCGTAATCATCTCTTAATACCTTAACCTACATAACGTTTTTTTTATACTTAATAACCAAATTAATTATGCCCGCGCGAAATCTTTTTATATAATAATTTATCACAATATGAAGAATGATATAAATATACATGATAGCTGCACAATATTTTTTATATTGCACCATAATTTTTAAAATTTCTTGTAGATATTATTGAAAATTAATAATCCATAAAAATTAACAAATTCCTGTATATCTTGTAACAAATCTGCCCATTTTTTCTGTTTTGATGAATAGTTGCTAAAATTTTTTATAATTTTATTATTTTCTAGATTGCGATAGATTGAAAATTACCTTTGAGATTCTCCATCGTAGTCCATGCTCGATCTTTCATCATTCTAACGGACGAATTTGTCCGGAACTATGTAATACTATACTTAAACATCCTTAACTGCTGGGAAAATTTACGGCCGCAGAGCCAGTAATTCGCGAATTGTTTTTTCGCAAGGTCGCGCCTCTTCTGATTTACGTGTGTTAGCGTAGGTTTTCGATAACGAGAAACACACGGTGCCAGCTCGACGAAAAGAGAAGCGACGATAAAGCAACGCCCGTACTTGTCCTCACCACGTATACGGTGATCCAGAAGTACGTTGTGTGATACTTTTGACCAGGAGGGATTTTTCCACGGTCTTTGACGTTTGCCTTTAACAAAAATTCTAAGCAAAGTTATTATTTATTGTAATTTTCTAATTGCTTGTACTTAATGTTTTGATCGAGTCAGAAAAAATGTAGCTATCAAAGCGAGAATTATTTCAAGATCAACTATAGAAAACGAGACTTTAATTATTTATGTGTTGCTCTAAATTTTAATTCGCCAAAAAAATCTTTAATTTTAAATTGCTTAATAAGCGAACAAATAAAGGTATAATCAATTTTTAAATTAATTTACATCAATATTTGTAATCGAGAGAAAAGTATCACAGGAGACACTCTGTATTGCATTTATCGTAGTTCGCAGCGAAACGAATGTATCTAGGACGTGCGACGGCACGTACCGATACAACTTCTCATGTGCTGCTCGTGTGCTCGCTTAAAATCTGTTGTCAAATAGCACTTCTTCGTGTTATCGTTTTTCAAGCAAAAA